GACTGTGCTGCACTTACTAAATACTAATATCTATGTTGGTATAGTAATGCCATTAAAAGAAAAAGAAACAAATCCCATGGATCTACACCTGTGGTAGGAAGGGTAGATCTTCCATTGTATGGTAACATGCTGGGCAAAATGACTGCAGGTTCAGTCAAGCTGTATGATGAGGTGCATGTATTCTATTTTCACTAACTTATACCTGTCTATTTAGAATACAGGTCTTCCAAGCAGCTGGTAGATTACCAGGTGTGGACTTAAGTTGCTGGGCTTGCAATAGGAATTGCCAGCCCTCATAGTGCGGGTCTATGTGGGGCTTTAATCAGTAAACGCCTCCACATTCTGTATTACAGTAACATTGGCTCATGTATATTACTTCCTGCTGCTGATGTATTTTTCCATTGTAAAACGAAGTTTTAGTGTGGATTAACCAGGTCTTTATCTTCTGTTAATTTAATAACAAGCATTACTGTAGTGTGATTGTGTATAGGTATCCCTTAGCTGTCAGGTTTTTTACTGTGGGGGGGGAAGCAACTTCAGGAATATCCTGTGCTGTGTGTGCAGGAGAGCAGATGCCTAGTGCTGCTCTGGCATTAATCCCAGGAACCACTAGCAGTAGCGGGGTGCCGCCAACCTAACACGAACACAGGTGCTTCATGACAAACCTTACTAGCATGTTCAGCTGCATCATGTTCTGGCACTGTATTTTGAATGACATTAATTTATTAAAAAAGTCTGAATCCAATTGCCTGAGTGTGCTTTTTGGCTGAAATAAATAGAGCTGTGCCACCCTCCCACCACATGCACACTTGTAGCGAGTAGCTTATTGAAGGCAGCTAGAAATAGTTAAGCTGCAAAAAGCCTGGAGATGAGTATGTTAAGTTGATTCTGCTCACTGCTACTCAGCAAAAGCTGGAAATTAGGTATTGAAGTCAAACTTCATTACAGGATTACACAGGACTAGAATCCCCTGCTATCATTTTTGCAAATCAGCACTTCTCCGGTCATGGTACAAATTTTGCCTTACTGAAAGCGAAGAACAGCAGGCATTAAGGAGAAACATTTTCTGTAAGTTGAGACAATGGCAGACCTATTTTCAATCTTAAGTAAGCAAGAGCAAATTTATTTACTCCATTGTGCAGGCTGTCACTGGCTTTTCCTTAATTGTTTCTTATTGCAGTTGATAAAGTTGCAGCCTTCAATAAAGACAACACCTATGTGTTGTTTGGGTTAGGTCTCAACGGGCCTTACAAAGTTTTGTCTTGTATAATTATTAAAGGTTTTGGCTAGAAAAGGGGCTTTAGATAAGAAAGGTGCTTTATATGAAACTCTTCCAGATGCTTTGGTATTTTGTGCCATGTGAGGATTTATGGGACTCAGAGTAACAATGGAAAGCTACCAATTTTTTTTTTTTAATGAAGGTGACATAACATGTTTGCATTTACCATTACATAAACTTTTTTTTTAACACCTACATATTTTAGATAAGAGGTGTGAGATGACTCAGGAGCTCCTGCTGATAGGTCTGTTTATATTGCTTTCATGTTACAAGCCTGTGCAAGGGAGCATACATAAAAAGAAGGACATAGATACTCCTTTATAATGCAATTTGGAGAATCACATACCTCAGGCGAAAACATGAGCAGTAACCAAGTAACTCCAGCCTGCATGGGCTGCTCAGTTCTGTGGCTCCTTCTCCTGTTATCAGGCTGCATTAGGCTTTAGGACAAGGCTTTGTTGGTTTAACTGCAGATGATCTAGAGCTAGTGAAGGGGCAAAGTGGGCTCATTCTGTTACTGAAATATTCATCTTGAGTTTAAAATCCTATTTGTAGTTTCTTACTGGAGGAAAACAAACAAAACAAAAAAGGGTGTATTTGAATAGTAAATAAGAAATACTAAATAGGAATTACTAAATTGCAGTGTCTCTAAATCACAACTGCCTCAAAGAACCTGGAAGAACTTGGTTTTATCCATTTAAGAACATTTTTGAAATACAGACAGTCTGTATGACTTCCTGCTCATCTGCATCTTTTATCATTTTTTTTCTGTACATTACCTGTATGTTTTGTTTTTTATGTGGCCCAAGACTATATAAGTACCTTATGTAAAATGTATTTGCTATTAATAATATGGCACTTAAAGACATGACTAGTCAAGTGGTGAAGATTTCTCTACTGACTGCTGAAGATATATTAGTCGTTCACTTACACAACTGGTTTCTGAGCCAGTATTCATCCCCAAAGAAAAACAAAGAAAACTGGCAAATGCTGTTCTCGAGTCTAAATTCTTGCCTTGCATAATTCAAGAAGGAAACTGTGCAGCCAAAGCATTGTCATTGCCTGGAAGTGGTCACTAGTGGTAGAATTAGAGAAAGACTTTTGCAGGAACAAAGAGAACAGCTGGAAAAAATGCAGTTCTCATGTCATAAATGGAGCAAATATGATTAAAGCCTTGACAGAGATCTAACTAGTGTCTTACTATAAAGCTTCAGCCTAGTCTTAGCCTATTGAACATGTATTTGGCTTTGAAGTACATTTACATCTCATTAACTCATGTCTTCAAGCTCTGCTACATTTGCAAAGTTTATCTCTTCTCTGGTAAAGCTGATTTAAGTCAGTCCTACATAGTTTCAGTTTCCCTTACCTGAAGTAATAAAACAAGCAATCTGGCCTCTGCTAATTTTTAATGCATTCAGTCATTTTTTGCAGTTGTTCAAACACATACATAATTGCAAGTTTAATTTTTGTTGTAAAGGATCAGTCAGATCTGGGACAGCGAATTGTGCCAAGCTTTGCAGAGGCCAGGCTCAGACAGATAGTTAAATTTGGCGGGAAAATAATTTGATAACATTTTAGAGATAATTTCAAGATTTAAAGCACTACTGTTTTTCACAGTATTTTTTTTCACAGTATTTCTCATTTCACTTCTCAGTGGCTCTTAAGATGCACAAGTACCTGCCACATTGCACTGAGCTAAGGGATACTTGCGGACAAACCTGCAGACCATTATTAGCCAGGAGAGTGTTTCACCTCCTGTGTTTCCCATTTCCAGCTACCTTCCAGTTGTTTTCTGTTTTTTGCTCTGAACTCCTACATGAAAGGAACTATAATTTAGGCAGACTCTGAACCAGGCTCACCCTTAAAACCACTTTCTTTCCACTTCATGCTTAACATTAGCCACATAAAGTTCTGTTTAGTTCCACTTTCAGAAGTATTTTAAATACTTCTCCTTCCTACAACATTTCTCATGAGTACAGTTCAGCAAGGCAGAGTTCTTACAGAGCCTATAAACCCAGAGGAGGTGTCTGAAGAAAAAAACCATGAAACAATTTCATGAAACAAAATTTAAGAGCTGACATGTGCTTCAGCCAGCTCTTTGGCACATGGCAAAATCTATATACAAACAAATTTTTCACAGCAGCCAAGTCAGTAACCAGAGGTCATATTAGGCAGTATGTTAAGCTTAGTGTTATTTTTTGCCACTTTCTGGTATGCCTGCACTTTTAAAGTCTCCACTGTGTTTCTGTGTGCCTTTCTTCAGATGTGAGAGATCAACTCAGTTCTCTTCTCCAGTACTTTCCATCTATTTCACATAGTATGCAAGTGATGTTATTTCCCGTATTGTTTTTAAGACAAGATGACAGCTGTACATCTGCCTTCACTTCAAAGAACATTCTTGCTTGATTATGCTCACCTGATCCAGAAAGCAGTGCAACATTATTGGTTATTTGGATTCAGAAAAAAAAAAAAAAAAGATTTTGAAGGCATTCTCTGCTACTATTAAGGCAAACAGTGATTATGCTTTCATTAATATTAGCCAATAAATTCAGGGTTGGAAGCAAAAAAAAAACAAAAAAAAAAACCCAAAACACCTTACTTGATCAGTTGATTTTGAAGTATTATTTATTACAAGAGGAGCAATGTATGATTCAAGAATTTTGACTCAAGACAGCTAGAGTTCCAAGTTCCATCCCAACTGAGACTGAGCCACCTGTGTACAGATGTTATACACACATGATGTCAATTTGCAGGGAATAAGGTAATCTGAGTAAGGGTCACTATTAACTGACAGAAGTGATCCATTTCCCTATTTTTTATGAATCCAAACATTGCCTCTGATGTTAGTTAAAGAAAGGGGTCAAGACCAGAAACATGACAGAAGTAAAGCTCTCTGCCTGCTTTTTTAATCAGTCCCTTCTCTAAGATTGCATTAAAGACTCAAAACACCAGGAAGCAATTTTTCATACATCTTTAATCATAATAAAATAATGTAGTGTTTCTCCCTTTAATGAATAATCTCCACGTTGCCCTTTTTAATGAAAACCAAATAGCTACAAGAAAGTGAAATTGCAGTGCATAAAAAGCATGATGTAAATTTATCTTTTAGTATATTTGCACAACTACTTGCACACTGTCGGAAAAACCTTAACAAATTTTAGGGAATTGCAGCCATTCTCTAGACATAACCTTTGCCTAACTCTCATCTAAACGTTACCCAAGGCAGTCAGTTTCCTCTTTCTAGAAAACCCATTTACCAAATTGTTCTTAGACAGGTACAGTGACAGCTGCAGTAGAAGTTCTGAAGTTTTGAAACAGCTCCCTATGGCAGAGAACTGGATGTGCAGCAATTAATTTACACAGCATCTTGATTTTGACCAGATGTCACAATCCACAGAAACTACAAGTTACTTTGAAGCTAAATCAACACCAAAATTTTAGTTGTACTTGAAATTCTTACTGATATAAGAGAGGTCTGTGCCCCCCTGAGGACTTGAATCAATCCACAAGAAGCAGCACCTCACAGGGAATAACAAGTCACTCTAGAGGATCCATTTGTCCTAAATTTGCAAAAAGCAGCATCCATAATCAGTTTAAATAAAAGACAAATTTCAAAAATACTGCCAGTGAATTACAAGCAGCTACCAATATCAAAACCAGATGCCTGCAAGTGTCTTCTAGTGGAATTAATTTATTAAAACAATACAGCTTTCTGAGCAGATGGAACTTTAAACAGGCTGGATGTATTTTATTTTTCAAGCAGCACAGGAAAAATCAAATACATTACTTGTATGTTCAATTATCAAGCAGTAGTTCCTATGTTTAAAAACTGCATTCACACCTTCACTTTTACAATTAAATACCGCCACATTAGTTTATCTGCTTCGTAATAATTTGTATGGAAATGAGAAGCTTGTTTAGGCAAAATACTACATTTAATTACAAAGGTGCTTAAAACAGAAGTACAAAGTCAAACAAGTGCAATGTACCAGAACACTGACCTAAAAATTCTAATTAAATTGTGGCATTTTGGGAAACTGGTGTGAGATGTGTACAGGAATTAAGGTTATGACATGAAAATGACTGTTGAAAGATGCTGAACACTTCAGTCAAATGAAACATAAGGTCAGCAACACTTAAGTCTTGTGGGGTTTGGGGGACTTACATCTCATTTCTCTGCTCAACAGGCAGTTCCTCAAATGCTGGCACATACGAAAAGCTGAGCTTGTCTCCTGTGATGAGAGAAAGTTGAGAGGTGTGCTACTGTTACCTGCAAGTCAGTGTGTGCTGCATGCTGACAGCCAGAAATACCTTTGCAACATCAAATCAGGACAGAGCCATAACAATACCTTCACAGCTGACTGATTAGAGGCACTATCACCAATTCACTTAGGACCCTTTGTTCCTTACAGTGCAGAAACAGATGTCAGGGCTTTTGAAATGGAAGTCGACTGCCTAAATCTTTCTGAATAATTAGTAATGCCTGCACTGGAAACATTAAAGCAGAGGAGAGGAAAATAACTAGCATTTGCATTGGATTTAACTAAAGAGGTTACAAGCACTAAGTTAAGAAGAGAACTACATGAGCTTAGATGAACCTCAGTGGCTGCATGCCTTCCTACAGCCCAAAAGTAAGCTTAAGCAAATGCTGGAGAGCAAACGTAGATGTTAATGAAGACAACTAATTATGAAGATCACTTCATCTCCACCCACTCATTGAGTCTTAATCACTCTTGAAATCTGAGTTTAAAACCAAGTCCAACTTGCTAGCAGGGTGTCAGTTCTTAAAAAGACTGAAAAGTTTTTTATTCTGTCATTTATAAGGAAATGAAAATACTCTTAATCAGGTTGTATGTTTGGTTCCACAACAGAGACAGCTGGGACAGTGAGAAAAAGGCTGCAGAGAAAGATCTGTCTGGTCTTCTTGCCCATAAGAGAAAAATTGTCAAGTATCACAACAGAATCGTGGTACAAAGCAACAAGCAGCCAGTGAGGGCACCTCCTTCTGTCTTTCCTCAGATTAATCCATGAGAAAACAAACAAAGGTCAGCTTTCTAATACTCCTAGCCCAGCGAGGGAACCTGTGGGAATAAGGGGAATGCAGAGAGCTAATAAATTGGCAATATAAATTCAGAGGATTTGAGAATTCAACAGAGAAAACTCAGGTGTGGAGGTAACAAAGACAAGGATATTGAAAAGGGATCCTTTCAGGTCCTGCTTCTACATGTAAATACCAACCACTTGCCTGGCTTCTGGAACTCGCCATTGTGAGCTCCTAAGCCTAAATCTACCTAGGTATGCTTTAAGTTGCTGGTGATTAAATCCTTTATGCACCTTTCTTCAGTCTTCATTAGAACATGGACTGTGACCACTTAAATCCCAGAGTGCAGATAATATGTTAGTCATTTCACAAAAGCAAGTGTTTATTTTGGGTTATTTTCTTATCTGCATGCTGATTCAGAAAGCTCTAGACACACCACGAGTAAACAACTCTAGTCTTAATTCACTGCATATAAATAATATCTAGTCTTTAAAAAGATAAAAATGTCTATTACAGAGTTGTGGAATAAAACAGCAAAGAGCATCAGAAGTTTGAGGAGAGATACAAAGACACACAGAGACCACGAGCAATAGCTGCAGTTTGATAAATACATCTTACTTGAGTGTCAGAAGCAATAAATTAGTAGAGTTTTAGGGGCCTTTTTTGCCCTTCTCAAATCAAACTACTCAAACTGGCTGTTTGCCTTTAGGTTTTCCACAGTCATTCTATCTAGTCTGTCCTGGGAAAAAAATTAAAGAAGGCTTTAAATCAGATCCCATCTTTTCAAATCACTGAAGCAAAAAAACTGACAACCAAGCTGGCTGGACAGTGACAATGTGATGCAAATGTGGCTTTTCTATTAACTTTACAAATGCATAGAAGGAATTAAAACATAATTTCCTAAAAACATTTGAGCCTTCTTGTTTATCTCTTGTGCAGCTGCTGCATTTTATTTGAGGAACAGGAAATATAACCATGACTACAAATCTTGGCCACAGAAAAGAACATGGCAAAATGCTGACAGATACTGATGAGGCAATAAACTAAGAGGCTTTTGGTACAGAAAAGTTGGAACACTGGATAATGTAATATAGAAAATGTTGAGAGCAACATGTGGGGATGTCAGAAGGCATCTAGAGGCACACACATTGCAAGAAAAAAGGAAATAATTTCCCTTGGAATCAAGAAATGTAGGAAGTGCAATACGCTTGCATACAGAAACCACCACATGCATGCTACATAGGAAATACAGCATTATGCCACATCTTTTCAAATAAACTCTTATATTTCTCCACACAAGGATACTAACTGAGCTGTTTTAGTTACTCTCAATTCCAGTGTTTCTTTCCTTATGAAAAAAGCAATTACCCAAACAGCACATTCCCTGAGTCGACACAGAAAATCCATAGCTGATTTTCATTTGGAAGAGTCCTCATAACTTTACTGGGAAAAAAAAACCAAAAAAAAAAAACCACCACACAGAGTTTGCTACTGTGCTAGCTTTGGGTGGGTTTAATACTTCATATTCATATGTATGCAACTACATTAATGTTGTAATGACATCCTAACTTACAAAATTATCTATGATCCAATCCCAGTTTGGGAGAAATGCTTTGTAATTCTTTCCCTGAAGAGATATCTCCAACTGGAATCCCATTCATGTCCTGGGGAAAAACTCAGACAAAACATAGACAAAGGTATGAAGGCCTACTGCATAACATGAAAAAAACTACTGATTTTGCAACTGTTACACAGATTTGAAGACATAAAGAGAGCTAGAGATAGATTAATTCAAACAACTCTATATGGATACAGGCAATAGAGGGAAAAAAAACCTCTTGTCAGCCACAGTCTTACTCTGCACCTTGTTGATTTTAATTTGCAGCTAAAAGCGTGAAAGTTCCACCCTTTAAGGGTTGCAGAGATTCTCTCAAATCCAACCTAAAAGAGGAATTATTATTTATATTCTGCTCATTTCTAACAAGAATTCACAAACATTTGGCTATCTGGATTGAAAAATAGAACTACTTTACATAAATATCTTCAACATCCAAGAAAATGTACAAATCTAAAGTCAAACACATTTGGCTTGCAACAAGCCCCATTTGCTAATGTCTTTATAAAGGCTCAGTTTTGAAGAGAAGTAGTCATTTTAAATATAACCAATACACTGCAAATGCCATCCCACTGTATGGTGACACTCACCATTCTTCTGTACTTCTAGGGAAAGTGAATAATAACATTCCACATCTGCTTGCAAGCAACATATATCTTATTTTGGTCCTGGGTAGGTAACCTCCACTCCTACATTTTGGAGCGGTCTTTTTACAGCTCAGAGAAAGATTGCACCTGAAATAGTCAGCAGCATTCTGCCAAACCAGCATTTAGTCCCCAAGGCTTTGGGTTGAGTGTGTGAAAGTGGAAAACCATGATGACATTGCTGATTTTGCACTTGTGAAGGCTCCTCCAACAGACTGACCTGCAATACAAAACAAAGATCAATAGCGAAGTGTTATCTTTACTGAGTTGCTACAAAGATATACTAAAAAAAAATTATCCAATTAGCTGTCCAACTTGGGATTTGGCACAGAGTCTGTGCCAGAAAATATTCGAAGAACTTGAACACAGCAGCTCAGCAGAAATGGCGTATGGTGTCCTTTGCCTGGGAAGGCTTGGTAGACTTTGGGCTGAAAGGTACTCCTGACCAGAGTGCACCACAGCAAAAAGAAAAGACTCCAACAGAATAAAAGAACAAGTTAAAAAATTTTTGGCACAGCTATTGCCAAAAAACTATCAGACCCCTTATTGGATGAACTCCCATTAACTCACACTGCAAGATGACAATGCGATGATGCCCCCGTTCAAGTGCAACAATTGCTTGTCCAGAAAGTTACAGACTGCTGCAAAATCTGCAGAAACTGACACAAGGACTTTTTCTGATCTCAACCAGCTCTAGATAGTTTCAGTCAAAGTGATATCAAAGTTGAGAATAACTCAATGCAGATGGTGGTCAAAGTATTTACCAGATTATATGGAATCTCTTACCTGAACATCTCTCTTCCCATATTCACCTCCAGACAACACTGGAAAAGGTATGTACACTAATTTCTTTATCTAGCTGCTTCTCTTTCTGCTGTTACAATATATGGAGCCTCCATCAGCAGCTCTACCCTTCAAAATGTTGCTCTGATTTGTGCATGTTATAAAATACACTTGGACTAAAACACAATATAACTGAAAAATAGGATGCTTCTTCAAAAAAGATCCAGGATAGATGTAAACTGATTTTAAATAGATTTCTTACCTACAGCTTTTCCAGTTTGTACCACATTCCGGCTGGTAGAAACCATCACATTTCCAATCTTCTTTCCACGTTCACTGTTTTGCACTGAACTGAACAAGAAAGATACTGAAGACTGTTACTTGACTGAATTATTATTACTCTCAGGTGCAAATAAACTAGTTGAAGTATGTATCATGACACACAGATTTACATAGCATACATATATATATATAGTTTCCCATATGTGGTCAAGCCCAACTCCTGCATTCATCTTATCCACAAAGATCAGTTAGGCAAGCTCCTCAGAGGATGAAAAGATGCTGCCAGCAGGACAGGAAATCAAAACACCCAATGGTTCTTTCTTACACAGCGCACCTGAAACCTTGCACAGACTCTACCGGGTTGGAAAAGACCTTTGAGATCATGGAGTCCAACCCAGGACTGAACACCACCCTGTCAACCAGACCATGGCACTGAGTGCCACATCCAGTCTCTTTCCTTAAACACCTCCAGGGACAGTGACTCCACTACCTCCCTAAGCAGCCCATTCCAATATTCAATCAATTTCCTCAATGTTTACCAAAATGCATTTATGATCAAAATTACAAAGTAGTATTTTCAGTAGTTTTGGGAATTCTTAGCCCTAATACATAACCTTTAAATAGAACAGCAAGTGTAACTGATCAGTCCTTTTTTTCTAGGTGAAGCTTACTTTATATCTTTGTCCAAGATTAAGTTTTTGATCAAGAATAGTTTACACTCATGGTTTTGTTAAAGAAATGCAAGAAAATGACAGACATGATCATCATTTGGAAAGAAAAGCACAAAAGCAATCAGTTCTACTGTACAAATACAATCACTTGAAAATAATCTCATTTAGTTTTAAATTGTAACTTTCAAGTCCACATTTCAGGCTTTGCAAACCCATTAATGTGAAACTTAACACATCATGCCACATTCTTTTCCCATTTTCAAAATCTTCAATGTAGACGGAAAAAGCAAAAAAAAACAGAGTACACCAAAACCTAGTCTAGGATCAGTTTGCAAAGGCAAGTAATTTTGATGAGGATCTGGTATCAAAGTCCCACATGCAGAATAAAGGCAATGTTGTAAAAATACTTATTAGTAGAAGTGCATTAAGAACTACTGGTCCTTTTACACTGATGTCCTTTTACACTACCCAGAAGAGTTAGTAACTCCCCTTTCAAACAAGGGGACAAAAACAGGCCAACGTTACAGGTACCTCCAGGGCTTTCAAATTCAGACTTTGTAGAGAGATCATCCATTAATAAAAGAAAGAGAGACTGCTGTTTTATGGTCAGCAGAGCTAAGTGAGAAAAAAATTCATTTTGCCTGGTGCATAAACCCCAGGCTGAATTCTGGCTTCAGTTAGAGCTGAACAGCTGTGGAAAAAACAAGCACCACTGAGTTGTAGGCTTGAATTTTAAAGGCAGCAGTTGAGATCAACTTAAAGTTCAGCTAACTCTGGTACAATAAGACTATGCAAAAACTCATTTGCAACTTGTAAATTGAAGGAACTCAATCACATCTCACTATGTATACAGTGAACTATGAGTTTTAGAAGAGTACTGTATTAAAAACCAGCTAATTAGAAAGAATTTTTCTCCTAATAATGAGACCTAAAGTCAAATCACTGATGGAAGTTTTAACAGCTTTAGCTGACAAATTAAAAGTAGATGTACAAAAGCCTTACAATTGCAATGCAAAAAATCAAGGCTTTATTAAGCGAAGTCCAACACAAAAGATCACATTTACCTTTTTTTTAAAACTATTATTTATTTCAGGCAAATATTTCATCTTTAGATTGCTGGTGTTTTGCAGCAGAACTTTTGAGTATCATTTCATGAAGTTGGCCAATTTGAATCCTTATCTTGTTGAGTTCATTACAGCAACAGCTATGCATTATTGCTTTGTGACCACCCTTCTAAAAAATACGAATCAAAGTACTGTGTACTTACTGTGACAACCTTAACTTAACATCTGATACAGAGTACTGTCCCTGGAATGGATGGCTAGAAGAGGAGGAAAAATCCAAGAAAACATTAATTTCTTTTTCATTATGAACCTGTATCATGCAATTATTAGCTGTATTTCCCTCTGTGACTTACAAAAAAAAAAAAAGGAAGTTGAAAAAATATTTTTGCAGATATACTGCTCTATCACTTCACAGAAGTCTGGGTTGCAGTGACTATTCAATGACAAATTTCTTATGAGCTATCTGAAAGGTGACTTCTATTTACAGATGAGATATTAACAACCTCTCCACACTAAGTCAAAAGCATCTCCTTCCAACAGCACATGGCAAACAGAAAACATCCCTTAAGTAGACCAAAAGAGCTTTGTAGGTCTAAGGAAAAATCTTTTTCACACTACAGCAACTGACGAAGTAAAAGCAAACAAAACTCCCTGCAGCAGAGAAATAACCCACACTAAACAGAACACATGCACAGCCAACAGTGGTACCAAGCCTGGCACTGCCAAATCTCTCAGTGAAAATACACACGGAACAGCCAGCTCCCCTCTATCCCACCAGTGACAACCTTGGACACAGCTGCTCCCTGCACACCTGGAAGCAATTGACACAAAGCAGAACCATCTGAGGACAATTCCTGAGGAATGACAAACTTTCTGTAGCTGGGGACAGCTGACAATCAACTTGAATAATTTCAAGTGAAAAAAATATTTTCACTTCTTCTGACTCTGGATGTGTTTTTCTTCATAAAACTACTGCCCAGAATTAGAGTAAATACTACAAAGTTTCCTTACCTAGAATTTACCTCTGCAAGAGCTGGATGCTTGTTACTATTCCATACTCTGTAGTTGTGGGTATTTTTCCAGGCCGTTACAAATCCTGTTCCAAAGTCTGACAAAATCTTTTCATTGTCTGGTAAAATAAAATAAAGAGAATTTGATGAAATTCATTAGAGATTTAATAATTACAAGACAAATTACTTTTTTTCTTGTAAGAAAAAAATTCATTTTCCAGGCTCTTATCAAGTCCGTAACAATTAAAACTCCAGTACTAAAACATGGGTACTTAAAAAATGGTTTATTTTTAAAGTGTCAAAAATATACAGTACCAGGACAAGAGGGGAAAAAAAAAAGCTAAAAATTACTTTTCTTAATTTTAATTCATTTAAAAAGCTCCAAGAGCTCAACAGGGAAAAAAATAATGCAAATTGACTTTTTCTCTGGGGGATGACAGGAAAGGGAAAAGAATGACCACACAGCAAAACCACGAACAAAAACAACTTACACTGGTCTTGGTCAGATATATTGGGTTTTGCTGTACTGTTATTACTCATTCAAATTTAGTAACTCCCAAATCCATTCAAAAAATGCAGTAGGAAATACTGTGGAATGAACTTATCATAACAATACCTTTAAAACACTTAAGAGTATACGAAATAATTTAACAGCCAGCCAGTGAAGTAGTATGAGTTCCCAGAAAACCCTGATATTTCATATCTATCTGCTAATCCTCTTAAAATATTAATTTTGTCAGACCAAGAACTTGGCATCTTCCAGACTTTAAAATCAGGTTCTCAATCCCATTTCTCTCATACAGACCACAAAACAAAATCTGAATTTAATTGGTATGAATAGAGAAAAATCATTATGAGAATGAAGTTAACAGGGTGAGTTAGTTTGCAGGGCAAACTAAACATTTTCCACAAATAAAAAACACTGATTCTTTTATTTATATTCACACAAAAGGTTGGGACATAGAGAATTCCTTCTGAGGTAAAGCAAATAATTTTGAGCTCCGGGAAAAAAAAGCTTATAAAGCCTGCAGATGACACTTTTCACATATGTGAATCTCTAATTTGGACCATAGCAAGAAGGGAAAAGAGCTGGAACAGTCTAGCAAAACTTCCTGAAGACAGATGCTTAACTTCATGTCTCCTTGAATCCAAGTAGTTCCCCAAAATTAACTTCAGGTTGCAACACAGTCTAGAAGACACTCAGATTTGTCTCATCAGATACAGGTTTCAGGTACTTCTACTTATGAGGAAAACTTACTTAAATCACGGAGAAGACATTCTAATAAGAAAGTGTCTGTAAGACTGTGAATTAAGGATTAATAACAAGCTCATCAAGAAATAACAAGGACAGCCAAAGACAACTGAAAAAGCAGCCTAAAATGAAACTTTAGGCAGAGGGAGATCCACTGACAGACCACACATCAGCAGCAACAGAGCAAATGCTTGCCATGTCCACCCTCATCTCCATCCCTAGACAATGTATCTGTTCTACCTGGTTGCAGCACAGCAGCAAGCAGTGCATGAAGATAAGCACTGAACTGAGCCCTGATCCACTCATCTCCTCCTTCCCATCCAGTGCCATCAAGGAACACATCATCTCTGTTCTCAGTTACATGCTTCACCAAGTAATCTGAAAATCTCAGGTCAGCAGTTGTTGGGTTCAGGATCTTACGGAGTTCTGGATCGTGGATTTGCACCTGAGCATCTTCTATCTGTTTGAAATAATTCCAAGAGTAAACAATTATCTAAATAAAACTGCTTATACAAACTTATACTACTACGTATTGCTACCTAAATCTTAACCCTCATTCCTCTAAAATACCAAGAGGAAACAAATGGCCAAAGAAACAATGAACTAACTGTTCTCAGAAAGTCAGATGCTGCTCTGATTTATCCAGAATTTGATCATTTCCCTGGCACACAGTGAAAGCTGCTTATTTGACAGGATTTGGCAGAAAGTTTGGCAGGGGAAGTATGGTGCTCTTTGATTATCACCTCTATTTATGAAGGTGATTACCTATATGGAACCATCTTAGGTTACCAGATGCTGATTCTATAGCTGTGTCTATTTGCTAGAAGTGACACAGTGGATGTTTTAGATACTGTGTTTTTACCCTCTTGATTTAATCAGATGGAAGTCAAATCAGTACCTGCATTTGATTCTCATCTGCAAGCACTTATTTTTGAAGACCTCACTAGAAGGCCATGAAAAAACCCACAATACGAAAAATGAAATTGCATCACCAACAGAAAAAAAAATTAACAAGTGCCTTGCAAATTCAAATATCAGATACATATAAAAACAAGGACAATAATTTTGCACAGCCTATCTAATCCTGTCTGCTCGAGTCATAGAAATACAACAAACTTCTGCAGCTGGGAATTTATTTCCTACGGAGGGAATTCAAAATTCAGGCATGCATGTGAAACTGCAAAGCTACATTTAAAACAGAACCTCAGCTTCCCCCATCTGTCCCCCCAGCCCAAATGCAAAGATCCATACTTCCACAATTGCATCACTCAGGTGCTTCTGCTGACGGAACAGGATATTGGTAGCTCCTGCCACAAAGCCGCGGACTGTCACATCCGACAGGAGATGATGCTGCTGCAGCGCCATGTACGGCAAACAGAGGTACCCCTGGAGCAACAGAGACATTCAGAGAAATAACATCAACAAAAGTGCCTGGATTCAGAGGTTTTTGTAATAAAAGCCAGCATATTTCACCCAGAATGAACCTTGGTTATTAGAGTCTCAGCCACAGTCATCTGTTGCTCTGCTATATGACATTGTGAAGCGAAGCCACCAGATTCCATGTGAATTAAATTTTTTAAGAGATTGTGTTGCCTTTCAGTCTCAGGATTGAAACTGAAATCCAAAGCAAAGGACGAGAATTTAATGTGTTTGTAAGGCAACAGAATAAGTAGCGTAAGAGCAATAATAAGCAACAAGAATGAGGTCTCAGGTCACTTCAGAGACAAGAAGCCAATGGAAATAAGGATTCATCTCTCCAGTTGTGCACATGAGGTCTTCTGGTAGTTGTGAGGCACATAATGCAGGAAAGCTACAGACAGCTATCCACATTTTGTGGGTGGGGATTTCCAGACACCAGAGATAGCAATCAATTTTTGATAAGCATATGCAAGCCTGCTTTAAGAAGGAGAGGACAGAAAGTAATACACTGCGCTTTTTAGCCACTCCAGTGTTGTAAATTAATCTAGTATCCTTCACTCCAACTAAAAAAACATTTTGAAAAAAGGCTTTGAGTTAGTCATTGAGGGATTACTGAGAGGCAGATGTAGGTAAATTTCTTTTTAAACATAGGATCAGCATACCTCTGACATCTTATTCCAGCTGTTCAACTGCATAAAGCCCAAAGCAAATTTATTCACTACAGCTAATGGCATATTGGACAGAAACAAAGAGCACACACACTTTATCACCCAGTACGTGATAATTGGAAACATATGGAAGAAAGGAGCATAACTACTCCCTTTTGTTGTATTAGACACAAGGATGGCCTTAGAGATGACAAGCCCTTATTAGCTGAAAACAAACAGCCTGCATCAAAGGAAAAAAAGTGCTTTGAAAGGAATCACAAACCTAAGATGGATAGTTTTCAAAAAATACAGCTTAAGAAGCAGGAAAAGGAAGGTTTAATTACTGCATACTAAAGTAGCAAAGTCTGGGAAATCTTTCACTATTTAAAGTATCAAATGTCAGTTTACAAATGCACATTTGTAAGTACAACAACTTTTATTTCATGAACATGTTCCATTCTTTTTTAAAAGAGTGCAGATGAAATGACTATTAGATCTTACAGAACTGGTACTAAAGAAACAAGTACCACAAGCTATTTTTCCTTATGCTCAGGTGTACCTGGATAATGTGTTATGCCACCTGGCAAAACCTCCTCCCATTCAAATTTGTCAGATTTATTAGTCTTTCCATGGCATGGCATAAAACAGCCCTGTGTTAAGAGCTCTAAATGAGATGTAAACTTTCCAGTAAGTGGTTAAAACTGTGATTTTGAATCAGATTTTTCTCCTAATTCAGACATGCAAAGCCCTTTCTGCTTTAATTACACTGGCTGAACTCAAGTGAAAAGTGCCTTTGTGGAACAAAAGGCAAACATGTAGAAACTGACAGCTTCCTTAAAATTCTTTTCCATTTGATGAGTATAGCAACACACAAAAATTTGCACTTGGAGGTCCCCTTATCAATTATTTTATTCTTGCTTTCCATCTAGTATTTTGAAAGAACTAGACTAAATGCAACTTAGAGGCTATAGTTCACATTAGACAGATCATAAGGACAAATATCAAATGCAGATCTTTGCTGAAACAGCATTTCTGATGGTGACATGAGGCAATACAGGACAATGACATTTGGGCCTGCACAGTGTACTATTTCCAATGAAAGTTACAGTGAGAAACTTAAACACAATCATAAAATATAATATTCTGCAAAGAAATGCAAATAAACCCCTGCAAATGAAGAAAAACGACTTTGAACATCAGCAGCTTGAGGAAATAAATATGAATCTTCTATGGGCAAATGTTCATTTAAGAGTTTATTGCATTAAAAACAACACAATTAATTGTACTATATAACTTCTTTTATTGATAGCAGTATCTTTAAAAGGGATGCATTTTACCTGGGTTTTAAGGGAAACTAGCTCTACTAACCAGCCCTATTTACCAGACCTTGTTATCTGACTATGTCTATCAGAGTCCTTAGAGATTCTGGAATACTTGGAGTTCAGTTAGGTATCAGTGCAAGCTTAAAATTCAGCAGCTCAGTACCGTGCACAGAGAAAGACACAGACAAACATAAAGAGTCATCACAGGATAACACAGGAGACAGGAGGGTAAAATTTCATCTTATATATATTTTTATGTGTGTATATATGTATTTATATACACTTTTTGTGCATATATACACATATGCATTTAAAAATACATATATAGATATAAATGAAGAGAGGGAAACAGACTTAGGTGTCAGCAAAGGTAGAGTTCTCGGAATCTTTGTTTAGATTAAGATATCTAAAGGCTTCTGAAGTGCCCTATATAGGCTAGACCACCAATTCATCAGAGTAAAAGAAAACTGTAGTTTCTGCTACATGGAATTTATTAACCACAGTGGAGATTCAGGTTACCACCATGTAAAATTGAAAAAAAATTGGAAATAGTATTAAAGTAAAAGTATGAAAGTGGGATGCAAACACGCGTGCAAGGCCCTCTCAGGCCTTTCCACCTGCCTAGGAGCAACCACACTAACATATTTTGGAGAACCCTACTGTCCACCTGGAGTTCAGTAAGAAAAATTATTAGCCACTTCCGAAAACAAGAAGTCTTTCTGAGTTACCAGGTACCACAAAGAATATGCTTACCTTTGTAAAAATAGCCAGTGGCATCCCATACTGGTCCTCTTCCAACCCAGACACCAGTCCCTGAACAAGCACCGTGTGCCCCGTGTTTGCCTGGGGCTGCACAGTGATGGGAAGGCCTTCGGAGCTCACGCCTTTGCTCCGAACATCTCCCGCCTGTTCTGACGCTGCATTCTCGCGTTCTCCTTCTTTCAAATTAGACTCCTCCAAAACGCTGGGATCCAGGGTCTCCCAGTCACTTTCTGAGGATGCTGGAGAAGCACGGGAAGGAACTTTCAAGCGCTGCACAGTACCGTTGGAGGACTGAGCTCCACTGCAAGTCTTCTCGGCCTGGGAGAAAGGCACGTTTGCTTTTTGACCTCCCAGTGAATTATCTCCTGTCATCTTCCTGTCTCCCTTTCCCATTCCTAAATTTGCATTTGCAGCCTCAGCAGCAGACACAGAAACATAGTCATCAAACTGTGGTGGATTTTCCTGCAAGCCAGCATCCTCTGATATGCTCTTTCTCGGTCTGTACTGTGAGCAGTCACTAAGACCATGTTCAATCATACCTGGAAAGAACAGCACACATGAATATCAGCATCTCAATCAAAATTTAAGTGACTTCTGTGGGGGGGGGGAAAAGTGCTTTTGTGTACATAGAGGAAATGATGTCATTTAAAACACTACTTTGGGGAGGAAGGGGTGTGTTAAAACACCCATAGCCAAACCTTACACTTCCTCTCCTAAAGAATCTGCCCTAACATTTTGCTTTAAGAAGACCAGTTAGAAGGTAAGGATTAGCAAGGTTAGGGGTTATGTTTGTTTGTTTTTTAAGAGCACATGTGGAAGGAAAAGTTTATATTTTGGGGCTTTAAGGAACTCAACAGGAATGTGTTACTTATTCAGGGGCCCCACCTATGTTACTGACAGGAAATACAGAAAATCCAGTGGCTCCAATTAAGCACAAGAAATAACTCATGACGTGCAAGTATTAAGTGTTAGGAGGTGTGTGCATAGTACATGGACATGCACACAAGTCACCCATTTTTCAGGCAACATATCAACCTAACTTAATTATCATACGAGTTGATTTCCAAGTGACAGCACAACCTGTCTCAGTTATCACCAGAAAACATACAAAAAGAAGTTCAAACTTCTTTTCTTACCAGGAAAGAGTGACAAGACAGTCATCAGAGCTCCCACCAATCTATTTACAGGAGAAATATAAAACAGCACCTGGTGGCAGAAGGGAGGGCAATGGGAGGAAAAAAGAATGCAAGAGAGAAAAGGGGAATTAGGGAGGAGGGAATGAGAAAAATAACATTATACTTATGCATGACAAATGACACATGCAAACTATTCAAGGTACTGCCTTGATGTCATATTAGAAAGTCTGCTTACTAACAGAACTTCCTACAACAGTTCAAAGTAAACATTTAGATATGTCTACAGAATCCTTATATAATATTTGTAATATATGTTTCATATATATATATACACATGTGTTTGTAACACACTTCTCAGTTATTCAGGTTTTTCCACTGGTTTTTAAGATTTTTTTTTAAACTGATCCAGTTACTGAAGAACTGACAGAAAAAAGTTGTTCCTGGCATGCTGCATAAATTCTTGCTGATTTGTAGCACATTAAATTCCCTGTTATAAATCAAAGAGGCCAAATAATCTCCATTCCAGAACACTGATACAAACCTATGCAAAAACATTTCTTTTAAGAAGTTATATTAAGGATATGTAGATAAACTAAAAACAGGACAAATGCTGCATGTGTTTATTACAGTAATATTCATATGTAACAAAGAAGATTTTTTGGAAACAGAAGACATGACTGATACTAACTTTGGTAAAGCACTTAAGGCATAACACGAGAAAACAGAATCTCCTCAATTAAATCAGAGAGGCTGGAATTAGTAAATTAGTTAGGAATTCGAAAGGGGGTGTCAAAGGCTAGCAATGAGAGAAGAAAAAGAAGCTAGACTGAATATTACTACTGGAATTTCTTCCAAATAGGCCTTCAGGGAAAAAGGTGGGGGAAAGAAAAAAAACCAACCCAAATAACAAAACCAAACCATAACAACCCAACACCGAAAAATCCCTACAAAAGTAAACTCGTCTAAAAATGCCATTTTTACATCCTTAATCAGCACAATACCAGTAAAACACCATCCATGAGCATTACGAGAAATCAAGAGTACAAAGGAATACAGAAGGACCTAACTTTATGACTGTGCAGTCCAGTTTAATAGGTGTATGATGTAATTAAAAGTGCAAGTTTGTGGACTTAGTCTTAATAAGAGACTTCTGTTGTAAGAAAGAAAGACACTTTAGAGGGGACTGATGAATAATAGCTCATGTCCCACTAGTGTTTGCCAGTCTCCAAGCTAGTGAACTGATGGGACAAAGAAAGACCTACACAGCCTTAACACAGGCCAAATGATATTTAATGGTACCACAGCTGAAAAGAGACTCTGTATATTATCCTAGACATGCTACAAAAAAATTGTGCAAGATAAGTGAATTCAAACTGCAACAACCACTGAAAAAGCACAAAGAGATGAACAAGAAGCTCATCTGTGGAAAGAGTTTTGGTTGACTCCAATGGGAATAAAAAAGTCTGACTTTGAAGATGTTGCTTTATAATGTATGCATGAAAAATGCATTATATAACAGCAATGAACTGCAACAGAAACCCTATGATACTCCCACAGGTTTAGATTCTCAGACACCATGCATTCTTAGCCAAGCTTATTTTTAAGCCCACAGAAATAATTAAGCTTATAAAGAAGCACCTTGTTTTAAAGAAATCTATTCGAGTCTAGGTTTTTGTTTGGGTATACCCCTTACTTAAAGCAAATAGTTTTGTATATTTGTTTCCTCAGGTCCCTCTGCCATCTTTCTGTCTATAAGGATGCACAGTTCCTTACCCCTCCCAACCCCACTACACGGCCCACAGCATTTACATCAGCAAACTGGGTGGTCCTGGCTGCAGAAATTGAAATAATCACCATCTGGAAATAGTCTTCCAGCCTAATAACCACTGAGAGGTGAAAAAAATTCTTTTAGCCTGTGGAAAAACATCAACCAAATTGCTACAGATTAAAGGAAATTAGTCCGTGGCATTTTCCAGATCAAGGAAAATTGGCATTACGAGTGGCTTCTTGCATATTATATTTAAAGTCTTTGAACATACAGATTCCCACAGTTATTCTGAAACCATAACGTTTGCCAGAAAACAGGCAGTGCCTGAAAACCAAAACTTTCTTTTGAAACTTCAAGTGTTGTCTTCCTGTCAGAGCTTAGGGAAAACCAGACACAAAGCAACCTGCAGGTTTGTTCCACAAGCATTCAGTTACTTTCAAAACAGTTTTGTATGTTTGAGTAATGTGAACACACTTGGGAAACTCTCTCTCTCTCCTCTCTTCCTGCGCATTTGCGTCTTGTGGTTTGAGCAGTTTCACAAAAGAACTGTAACTCAGTGAAGTATTTTCTTTGTACGTGTCCAAATGCTGAACTGATCTGGTGACCCCTACCGTGCCATAATTGTATTTTCTCAAGTGTACCATTTGCATAGCCTTTAATAGAGTCATCTTCAGCATATGCCTCCTTAATGCAGAAACTGCATTTATTCTCATCAATAAATACAGAGAACTGTCAAGGTGTATCTGACTTACAGAATTAAGTGATAAACGCAAAAGCTTTGGAGAAGTTGCTACATCTATTTTAAAACAGAATAGCATATTTACTGCCCCAAGAAAGATATCTAGGTCTCGGACATGGACTTAAATAAACACCTCCACAACTGTTTTGATAACTAATAGATTAAATCCTACTGACTTTCCAGCTGCAGCTAACAGGAAATTCTAACACGCCTTCCCAGCACACTGAAAAAGTAGGTTTTAATACAGCAGGTACACTGAAGAAAAAGTAGCATTTGGGAAACTAAAACAAAGCTTTAAATAACATTTTTAAACCAAAACAAAACAAAATCCCTGCATAAATATGTCTGGCAGCTGATACAGTCATTCCACTCTAAGTTCTTGCTCCAGGGCATTAATATGAACACAGAAGAAAACAGATGTCTTGATTTCACATCTACTTTCACTTTTTGCATATTACACTTAAATTACTAAAACAGCATTGCTTCTGAGGCAGTAAGACAGCCCAAAGCAAACACTGATCCTAGAATTCAGCAATTATTACCAATTTATAATCTGAGTTCAGCCTGACCTAATGGATACAGCTCTCTTCATTGTCTCCTGCAGGTGTCCATGGAATTCAGGTCTGAAGGACACTTCTAGCACTCATTTCTTTTGGTCTGTCTATTTAAAGCCTGAACCAGAAGTTCTACTTACTAAATCTCTGTAAAGCTGTGCCTTTTTAGGTTTTCCTATCAGTTCCTCCACACAGGTACCTATCTGCATGATGTGTATCCTATCCTCTATTTTACAGTAGGTTACGTCTCTCTGGTCACATTTCATCACATTTTGGCTGTGATAGCAATTAAAGAAACAAAGTGTGGACAGAATAGAAGTGGAGGCAAATGTATAGGTCAACACACAGCAGTTTCTTTAAGCCTAACAACCCAATTTATATATTGAAATAAAGTTGTTGATATGACTTCAGATGCTTCTATTTTACAGATTAAAAATATTTAACAGCTATGTTTTAAATACGTTAAGTGTTTTCTATTTAAACTACCTGCCTCGGCTTACATAACGTTACCTTTTTCTCTAGAAGAATCAATTTAAAAAGGATCAAGACCTGAAAAAAACACAAAAAGAAAAAAATGGTGAGCGAACCAGTGCCATTTTTCAAAAATTATGTGCAAGCATAACCTCTTGTTCAAGGTTTTATGTTAATCACTGCATAATAATCAAACGACCAAATGCATCTGACCAGTGAAAACCAAAGTTCCAATACCCTTTCTCCACCTGAGCACAGATTTAAAAATAGCATGAAATAAAAAAAAAACCAAAAAACCAAATCCTCCACTAAAAAGAACTGTGTAATTTGAATCATACGTAGCTTAGCAGAAAGAACACATTGCACAATTCCAGCATTTTACACAACAGTAAACTACATAAACATAAGAGTTCCTCCACAGAATTACTGAAAAAAATCCAGCAAAATACCAAGAGGAATATTCACCTCACCTAATTTTAGGCATCTAGATCAGAAGTGGCTGTCCAGACTGTCTACACTCAAGGAAAAACACAGATATTTCTGGGGCATGATTGGCAAACATCTGAAGTTAAACAAAAATTAGTTCTACCCCAAAAATCTACTGAGCAGGTGCAAATACACCATGAAATTCAGATTCTCAAAGCTGTTTCCTTGATGCATCTCAGTTAATAAAAAATTCTAAATGCTATTTGTACTTTAGCTATAGCACATATATTCAATTTCAACAGAAATTAGGAAAAAGAAGGACAGATCCAAGTCGCCTCAGGTTCTGTGATGGCAGAAGCTACAAAATTTACAAAACACAGGAAAAATTTTCCAGGTTGTGTCTGCACAGACTTTAGCAATAGTCTTTTTATCACATTCATCAAACAAGAAACAGGAAATAGAAACAAGATAACAAATGAGATAGCATTTGCACTTTGGGACAGGACTAAAAATGTCACACAAACCTAGAAATCTCCAGGAATCACTCAGAGTAACAAAACTTCTTAGTCTGGAATGTGCTTTCACTGAAGTTATGCAGGTGGAATTGCAGGGAAAAATCAGGAGGCTGGAAATAGCAGTACTTAGGAAACAGTCTTCTTACTCCTAGCTCTGCTATGTCTAGATATCTTTATTTTTCTATTATATTTCTATTTCTAAATAGCGCAGTCCTTAAAATATTTAGTAGGGAATACCTACCTTGTGTCTAAAATGGAGAACAAGATCCCGAGGAGACAGACCTGAGACACCAAAAAGAGAGCAATTATTAACAATTCAACAGCTGATAGCAATAATAATTTACTTCTTGTCACCATTCTTCAGCACGTGGGTATGGATTCTATGTGAACCTGGTTATTTCAATAGCAGAATTCATAAAAAATTCTTTTTTTTTAATTTTTTTTTTTTTTTTTTTTTTTTTTTTAGCGGGAGTAAGAATTCTTTGACAATAGAGACAAGAATAACATGAGTAATTGTGCTCTGAGTTAACACCTCTTGGCTGCCACACAGCATTAGGGAGCCACTGAGGTAAATACTACACTGTGCATTCAGCAAGCACAAGGAAGAGTCAGAATTGGGTGGTGAGATATCCTAAATAACAGGTAGATGCAAACTTGAACAAACTGATGGTGTGGGTTGCTGAATCTAAAACTTAAGAAGGTATTGTTTACCAAAAGCAGATAAACAGCTGCTAGTCAGACTGTTAGGTCAAGGAATAATATGGTTTTCAACCTGCAACTGACTCCTATTATGAAAGCAACACTACACTTTACATTTATTTAAATCCATTAATAGAGAAATGCAAACCTCGGGTGCTTAACCTGTTAATGCACATCAAGAAATTAGCTCAGGAGAGGCATGTGTTGTTTAGTGCAACATCATCTCTGCTGCTTTGTACAAAACAAATCACTTACCAAGATAAACTTGTGACCCTTCTAATGAAGTATTGCCCAAGGAACTATTCATATGATCATAAAGTTCCTGTAGAAGTTAGAATAAAGGCAAAAAAAAAAACCCCATAAGGTGTTAATGGCATACGGTCGCACAAAATCCAGAATAAATAAAATTCACTTATTTAAGGATTTCAAGGCTTACTCCAGAAAGAAAGCAAAGTTTTACTAATGGAATCAACAGAGATACAGGCTGACAACCACACTTGTATCTCATAACAATCAGAAAGCTGACTCTCTGTCAGATGAAGGTAGTACATTTAGTTCATGTTAAAGTATTACAGGAGCTGAATAACTGAATGACTTATGCAAAAGGAATATCTGAGCATTAAATTAAAATACTAAAGTTTGCGACCATACACTGAAAGCTGTTCTGTGTGTATTTTACTGGAAAGTTACCTTTAGAATTGAAATTTGTGAGAAGTCTTTTTCTTCAAAATATGCATGTGTGATGAGTTGCAGCTTTGCCTGAAGTAACCCATACAAAGGCTTGGAAGAAAAACAAACACAAAAGCAAGTGAATAAAACTATTTAGTCACTCATTTTGAACTTTAATCTTCTTCCATGCTTATGTTGCAATACTGACACTTTATTTACACAGAGTTCATGGATGAGCAGTCCTCAGTAGCTAACTCCCAGCATCTTTCTCCCATACTCATTTTAAATGATGATAATTTCATTTTCTTTCCATTTGCATGTACCATACCATCACTGAACATCTTTCTGGAAAAGCAGTTTCCTGCTTTAACACTGTTCATAATACTAACAGCTCCAGTAATAATTCTTCCTTCAGCTTTAAGCACAAAAAGAATTTCTGTTCCCTGCCTGGTGACCAGCAGCTTTCGATGAATAGTAGAAATAAAAGATATCTCTTCAAAACAGGAATGTGCTGTATGTGTAGCTATCAAAAAACCTCCCTCACAGTTGAAGGTGGTAGCCACTCTCTCCAACTACTATGATAGATGATCTTTGAGGCCCTTTCCAACCCTACCTATTCCATGATTATACTAGCCAAACTCCTCAATTCTACCACATGAAATTGAGTTAGTAGCATTTAAGAAGGATCAGAGTATCCTCATCCATGACAACAGGCAGGCACTTTTCCAGTTACAAGCAGATACCACAAATCAAGGCGGCTCACTCAAATGCCATAGCCTTCCAATTCAATTTTACTCCAATATTTTGTTACTCTGCAATGGCTAAGACAGATGTTTGAAGTCAAATGTTCCAATAAGAATATGGAACAACAATTGTTAAGGTTACCTGAAAGTGTTTTGGGAGTTAAACAAACATTCTTACCAGCTGGCTGAGAACACAGACACTTTTCTGTACAGTTTCTCGGGTGATGTCTGCTTGCCGTACTTTTAATGCCTAAGAAATAGAAGTATTAAAGTGTTTTTACCCAAACATCATTTCAAAAATAATTATTTTCCAAGTCTAGTTGCCACATACTACTCCCCTATTTAAACAAAATATTAAAACTAGCTATCTTCAGTGGCAGAATATCCAAACCATGCAACAGTATGCTCTTATGTTATCACAAGGGATAGATAGGCTGGGAAGGAGGGGCACGGGTGTCATCCCCTATGTTAAGGAATGGCAAGATTGTGAAAAGCTGCCTCTGAGAAAGACACAAACAGGTCAAGAGCTTGTGGGTAGAAATCAAGCACAGTACCTACAGAGGACACCTGGCTGGGGTCTACTACAAGCTGCCTGATCATGCGGAGCCTGTCCATAAGGCCTTGCTTCAAGAATGGGAAGCATTGTGCTCACAAGCTCTCATCCTAATGGGAGAATTCAACCACTCGGATGTTGGCTAGGAAAGCAATAAGTCTGTGGATGCCCCATCCCTGGCAGCTTTCAAGGCTACGTTGGATGGGGCTTTGAGAAAGCTGGTCCAGTGGGTAGCATCCCTGCCCATGGCAGAGAGCTGGAACCAGATGATCTTTAAGGCTCCTTCCAACCCAAACCACTGTATGACAATTCTATGATTCTACCTAGTAAAAAGGGTCATAACATTGACATGTCAGGGCTGTATTCTCGTCTCATGTCCAGCAAAGATCCAAACACAACTGTGACGATTGGCAAAGCACTGTTTAAAAGACACTAGTGTGAGAAAAAGGCAATAGCCTGGAGAAGGAAATGGCATTTTAACTCAGAGGAACATATGGAAGAGAAACCACAACACATCACTTGCTCTTCTCTAGCATCATCTGTGAAAATGGACCAGATTACAAAGTCTCTGCTTAGAAATTTCTTGTTTCATATTCAAGAATCTTTTTTGAGCCACTCATAAAATAAAAGTTTATCCACAAAATAAGCTACATTCTCAGCCAGAACAAACTGTCCCAGGACTTAACAGCAAACCTAGAAGTGGTGAGGGCAGAATACAAAGAAATTATTCACTTAACTGTACAAAACAGAAAATGTATGGACTGCAGCCCACACATCAAAAAGGACAGATGGAGAGAGTGCTAGAGCTGTCATATGAAACACATTGGGTTTTATTCTAGTTGTTCCAAAGAGCTCATTTTAAAGATCTATTTATCTTCTTAATTGGTTACTAAAAAGCATAAACTGGAATCAAGAGCAAAATAAAGCCAAGTTAACACACAGCAAGACTCTAAATCACAGAATACAGTGAAGACTAGTGCAAAAATAATGAGTGAATGAAAACCAATGTGGAATTTAGTTCAAAAGAAATGGAATTAAAAACTGCATGAGTAAAATTTCTCCTAGAGCAAGAACAGGAACTTGAAATATAATCAAGATGTAATTAACACAGAAACAGAGTACATAAACAAGTCATATATTCAGAGAGTGAACTCAAACCCACATGACATTCCAGATTATTGGCAATTCACTGAAAAAATAAGTAATTTAAAAAGAAATTTGTAATAACTTCCCAATTCTAAGTGCAGAGATCATACTGCCACTACTATTTTTGAAAACATGGGATGATTTGAGTATTTTAATTACTTAATTTCCTCAGCGTGATCACGTGCACACTGTGGCTCGCCTCAATTTTTCAGTTTTACTGCTAAAGGTTGGTATCACTAAGCAGCTACCATGAATAGAAAGATTCCAGTCATCTCTGTAAGTGTATATTTGGCAATGGGAGCAGGTGAAGACAAACATCCCTACACTTGCATGGCCTGATCCCAGGAAGTACTCAAATTATCTAAGGGGAGAAATTTCAACTTTTTCTACCCAAAAGGCCTACTGCCTGAAAACTTAACTTTGCCACTTGACTGTCAGCTGAGTTTTACTGCTTGATGCCGATGGCTGGGTTGGCTCTCGAGAAACAAAATGTATTTTTCAATTGCCTCGAACATTTCAGAAGATCACAATACACCTGCTGATGTATGGGAAAGAATACTTCTCTGGATCTACATACTGTGAGCACTTTCACAGACTTTTAACGTAACACAATCATGCAGGTTTTGCCTGTTGGTATAATGCAAGCCACTGAATTTTAGGTTTGTTAATGCATTGAGCCTGTTATTCATTAATATAACTAATTCACAACTTGGAAAGTTACCTTTGCTTCAATCTGCCGATAGCAGGAGACGCCATACACTGTGGTTCGATCCCCGCATCTCGGAGGCAGGTGGAAAAACACAGTATCTAGGAAAAAAGACATTTTGTCTATTTTGTCATTCGCTAACAAGAGTTCAGTATATTTATTTTCAGCACCCCTTAAAGGTTTACTGCAGTAAGTACTGGCAGACACTTATTTCTGGAAGAAAAAAAAAAAAGAAAAAGGAACAAGTCACCTATAAAGTTATGTCTGGACCCAAATTAGTTTTCACATTACAAGATAATTTGTGGAAGAATCTCCAGGTGTGCAGGATAGCTTCATGTTTAGCTAAACCAAGCCAACATTACTTTTCAGGAGCAGCTACTGACAGCAGGGAAGTGCCACTGAAAGCTACAGGCATGCTGCTTTCCCAGTTCAGGACAAAGGAGCAAAGGCAAGGCACTGTGAGTCAGTGTGTAGCTCCGAGTGTGATGCCATTAAGAAGGCAAACAGAGTCAAGGTAGGAAAAAAACCTCAAAGACCAAGGAGGACACACACAGTTGAAAGGTTAGAGCAGCTCCTACCTCTGCCAAGGTAGATATCTGCACAACCACCAGCACTATATTACCAAAAAGAACTTGTGAAACCTAGTCTTACAGAAAATAATTACTGTCTATGTAAGTTCAAAATGAAAAAGAAAAATATCTATTAAATATGACACGAGAAAGACTTTTATGGCTTAAAATACACATATACACACATACCTGCTGCTACTGCAAAAAAGTTGTTAAATCCTAAGCAAAGTTGTACTCTCCTTTCAAAACACGAGTGAAATCTTTTTTGAAACCAACTATTAATTTTTTGTTTGCTTCATAGTAAGAAAATGAACAGGAGAGACAATCCCATATGCATTATGACCAACAGAGAGGGGGACTTTTTATAACAGAGCTTACTGCCTTGATTAAGTTTATATTCTGGAGATCACCTAGGGTTTTAGAAACCTTGTATGATGATTTCTTGCACCAAGACATCCTCTTTGCACAAATGCAGCTATTACAGAAATTAGTTTAAAACTCAAAAACCAGTTATCTAATAAAGTTGCAGTAAATGAAATACAATTATTATCAGAAAATCTATTTGCCTGGTTCAAATTCATGTGTATTCTTGCCTACAAAACACGAGGATATATAATTCTCCTTTGCTGCCAACTCTTTTTTGTCCTTACCAAAAAATAAACATTTATATTCTTCTAGCACAGCAATAAAAATGCTCAAAGCTGAGTATTAACTGGAATGGTACTGAGACAAGAGACAGCAGGTAAATGCAGCTGCATGTGATTTTTCTAGCTTTGAATGTAGCCTACTTCTTGTAATGTATTTAACAATGCAGAAATTCAGCAAAAATCGTGACCCAGAGCAATAAGAGTGACACTCTTATTGCTGCTAGGAAAGGGACTATTTTGATAAACTTCCTTTGTTTCCAAATGAGATCTCCAAAAGCTGAACAATAAGGAAGCTAAGTATATCATGTTAAAAAAACCCAACAAATTAAAAGTAGTATTAAAGGGTTTCTGTGATTTTGCTGTTTAAAGCGACTTTCTTGTCTGCTCTGCAGGAAAAAAAAAAAGATGAAACTGGACATAAATATAATGTCAGGGATTAACAGAACTGCTAATAAAGGAATAAATGCAATTCTAAAAAAATAAAAAGTGCCACAAACTTGTGGTGACTATATGGCCAATGGATATTTCTATTTTTATTCTGGCAACAAAAACCCTTTTAAAGCTCACACCATTACGCTGACATGGCTTTCCAGGACTTGCAGATCATTTTAAGAATCTCTAAATTAGTGAAGGAGAGCTTATTCACCCTTCGAATAACTTCTGAGAAAGCCAGCAGCCTTGCTTTTTGCTAGAACTATGCAAAATTGGTATGCAACCCTGAAGTTTTTACTGACATCTGAATTCTGAATGTAGGAGGTACACCATTACTTTCACCTAAAGGAACGTATCATTGCCAATGTATTTTGCAACTTCAACAAAAAGTGCAGGAAGTATAATAGTAAAGAGAATCACTGGTCAGCTGTTCAGACATCAGGTTTTTACTATGGGCTGCAGCAGAACTACACACAACTTTTCTCTCTCATTTCTCACCTTCCTGATAGTTGTGAGCGCCATCCGGTAAGGCAAGGAATGGCAAGTACTTCCACTCCTCTGGTAAACTGTGGCTGTCATGTCCTTCTCCAGGTTTTAGGGGAGGATATGAAAATTCAACCTAAACAAATGAAAGCAAAGGGGAGAAAAAGAGAGAATACATTACAATTCCCATACAAGCAGGTTTCTATGATTCAGCCTAGTGCTTTTTTCCTACCAATATTATGGAAAAAAATGGTTTTCTTCCAACTAGCACTGCTTGTCTCTTCCTTCAATGCACCCACAGACTGACTTGTGTGGTTTAACTAACAGGTCTTGGGCAGATTTGGCTTTTAGAGCATAATTCCTTTCCCTCAAGAGAAATGAAAAAAGATCTTCAAGCAGAAAACAGCACCCAAGAGCTGAATATCTTCTTCCCTGTGTGCACAGTGCCAGCAGCACATTGCCACACCTACAAAAACAGCAGGAGTCATGGCTGGGGCACACATCCTGAAAGCAGATTTGGCTTCCGAGCCCTTCAGGTGCTCATGACTGGGCAATGCTAACACATGCAGGCCTCTCTTTCACCCTGCAAGACATTGAATCATCTCAGACACTGCAGTAACAGTAAAACACTGGTTTATATATTTTTAATGTCCCTGACTGCAACATGTTCTACACAATGGCCAAAAGCATCTCCTTTTCCTTTCACTAAGAAACCCTGCTTTTCAATTTTGCCTTTCATTTAATTGCCATTTTCCTCTTTTTCCTAGAAATAGGGACAACCTTTCAATTTCTTGCACTACACTACAAATCTACCACAGATCCCCACAATCAGCATCTTTACAGTGCAATCTTCTTTTCTTATGGAGATCCCTCTGGGTTTCCAGCCACTTCCACCAACTCTTTTCCAGATAGTATTTCTTAATTCACTGAACAAAATCTAAACACAAATTTCTCAGTAAAAGAAACTGTTTATTCACACTGCAACTTCTCTGCAAGGATATTTAGTTAGTAAGCATTAATAGTGAGCTGTAAAATGTATGTACACATGGAAAATAAAAAACATGACAAGCAAGCATATAAATAATCTTAGCATTTGATGGATAATGAAATTAAATAGTAATAATAATAATAATATCAAAAGAAAAAACCTGTGAAAGATGAGAGTACCAAGGCAAAGTGAAATTCTTCACCTTAACACACGATGTCACTGTCTACAACTGTTGCCAACTTGAGAAAAAGGTACAAAGGACAAGAAAACACCAGGAGAAATCAGCCTTGCTACTTGTTGTATCAATTTGAAGTTTTCTGATTCCTTGTTATGGTGGGTTGACCCTGGCTGGACACCAGGAGCCAACCAAGGCTGCTCTATCACTTCCCTCCTCACGTGGATAAGGGAAAGAAAACGTAATGAAAGGCTCATGGGCTGAGCTAAGGTCAGGGAGGGATCACTCACCAGTCCCTGTCATGGGCAAAACAGACTTGGCTTGGGGAAATTAACTTTATACCAATAAAACAGAGTAAGATAATTAGAAGTAAACCCAAATCTTTAAAATACTTTCTCCCCACCTTAGAGTGGGTTAATTCTTTCCTGGACTTAACTTTATTTCTGATTCTCTACCTCCTCTCCCAGTAGTGCAGGGGGATGGGAATGGTTCGTGGTCAGTTCACCACAGGGTGTCTCTGCTGCTGCCTCTTCTTCAGAGGGAGGAATCCTTCCCCTGCTCCAGCATGGGGGCCCTCTCACAGCAGACTGCTCCATGAACTTCTTCAAAGTGAGTTCTTCCCACAGGCTGCAGTTCTTCATGAACTGCTCACCAGTGTGGGTCCCTTCCACAGAGTGCAGTCCTTCAGGAACAGATTCAAGCACAGGTCCCCCATGGGGTCGCAAGTCCTGCCAGGAGCCTGTTCCAGCACAGGCTTCCCACAGGGCCACAGCCTCCCTCAGGCTTCTACCTGCTCTGCCATGGGGGTGTCTACACATGGATATCTGCTCTTCCATGGACTTCCACGGGCTGTAGGGGGACAGCCTTGCCTGACTGTGGTCTTCATGACAGGCCACAGGGGAATATCTGCTCCAGTGCCAGGAGCATCTCCAGCCCTTCCTGCTTCGCTGGCCTTGGTGTTTGCAGGGCTGTTTCTCTCACATACTCTCACTCCTCTCTTCTCTGCTGCAATTTGCTTCTCTGCAATAACTCTCCTTCTCAAATACAGGATCCCAGAGAGGTGCTACCACCACCCCTGATGGGCACTGACCAGCCCTGAGTCTCTGCTTAGCTCTGTCAGACATGGAGGAAGCTTCTGACAGCCTCTCAGAGAAGCCACTCCTGTAACCCCCTGTAACTATGAGGAATCCATAGAGTTTTTTAAACAAAATATGCCCTTAAGAAAAAAAAAAGCCTCGACTTCTAAATGAGAAACAAACACTGGAATTAAAGAGCAGAGAAACTGTCAGCCATTTAGCACACACATACATCCTGAGAATTCCCTCTAACCTTTAGCAGGATTCCCACTATCCTTTTCAAGTCACAAATAAGAAAACTAAAATGGTAGATAAAATTAAAACGGTAGAAACTTCACATAAATGTCCGCAATATCATAACTTTTGCTGATGTTCAGATTCAAACTGGCTGGCTGAAAACACTGTTTACAAAATTATTATTAGAATCTTGCAGGAGTAACTTTAGCAATAAATATAGCACAGTTACTAAGTTTAAAACATAGATAGTCAAGGAGTATCTACACTTAGATCCTGGCTCAGGTATTTTATTTCACTGCATGGCCAACAGTGAGGCATTCAGATTCACCCTCTGGAGGAGCTTCTTTCTAACAAATACAGAAGAAACCCTGAGTTCCTCAGATTCCAGCAAATACCTTCAATGCATCATTCCTGACAGGCAAATACTTTAAGGATTTAAGATATCATTGCTTCCAAGCACCTTCAGAATTACCATTGTATTTTGCACTCCAGCCAAATAATGAATTAGGAGACAAATTTAAAGGAAAGATGAGTAAGATGACTCAAGCTACATGAAAAACACATATTCACTAAGAAACACTCCTTTATAAAGTCCAGAATAAAGATGCGAAATCTGTCTTCTCTGTTCTTTTTACAGTGTGAAATTTGATGAAGAACTACTTTGTTCTCGCTCACAATATGCTATCAACATCTCTGCTGCTATCAGATAATCCCAGCAACTGGGATTTCTGCAGGTTCTGTCAATTCCAAATTCAATAAACTGTAAGGCATTAATGACACTGACGACAATCTTGTTTTCCTTAGTTGTCTTCTTTCAAAAACCAGTTTTAATATAAACTTCTGTGTGCATGTGGGTGTATAAGAGAACATCACAAAACTCAAGGAAATCAAAACTAAAACTGCTTAAGTGGCCTTAAATACTCTATTTTACAGATACGCTTTATGATAGTCCTGATTTACATTATGACATACTATTATTTCTCCTCCTCCCCAAGAGGATCCATATAGAACATATCCTGGTTTCTAAGGAGGAATCACATTCACATAGTTTAACAGAATTGCTGCTGGCCAAAGTACCAAAAGTGTGGAAGTAACAAAGAAACAGGAAAAAGGACAATCCAAAGGCAAGAAGAGCATGCAATGCTCTGGAGCACTTCTGTTCATCCCTCCTCCTACTTAACAGTTCCCAGTCATGATAAAGTTTGACTTTTTGATATTAAATAAGCAGTCACTGCAGGTGGGACTCATGTCAGCTGACAGTATGTCAAAAAGCAAGACCTCTGAGGCAGTTTTCCTAAGCATTCTGCAAAGTCAGAGAAAACAGACACCTGCAGTGGGTGATTCATCTGATGCGTTTCTTTTGACCATCTCTGAAGAGAGCTAGCTCTAAGTCTAACTTGCAGATGACTGACTTAAGGCAGATGGAACTCACCCTAACTGTTCCCCATCCTCTAGATGTTCTGCTTGATTTCTCCAGCTCAATTTGCAGACTTGCATCAATTGCAGTTAGGAATCCTTTGCACGGAAAGAAACCATTATTTCAAAAACAAAATATTACAAGAATATTGAGCAGCCTTAAAAAATGGCTAAAACCTCACAGTTCTTGAAAATTATGAAACTGAGCAGTGCACATGTATAGAATTGGTAATAATGGGGTGAACAGAATTTCAGTTCTATCAGTTCTGAGTTTTCAAACAACTAGAGTCTCAGTAAAAACCTTTCCCAGCCTGCGTGTGCAAATTACAGAGCAGTGCTCCTAGGGAAGGCAACTTAAAAAGTTATTTTTTTATCATTTTCCACCTTAAACCCAAGACTAACCATTACAGGGGGAAGAGATGGGACTACTAAAGAGACTTGTCTCATACCCCTTTTTCACCCTCTTCACAGAATGAAGAAAGAGGAGCTCATTTTTTATTTAAATAAAATACGTAAGGGCTTGTTACGTAAAGCCATCCACATATGCATGTGCATACATAAACATACACTTAAATGTCCCTGTATGTCATTAATATATGTTATCACTACAAAAATGCCTGCAAATATGAGAATTAAAATCTTTTCATAAAGCCCAGTAGTCAACAGGAACAAAGATATACACACAAGTTTTTAGAGCTGACTGTCAGAGAAAATTTTACAGGTTTTTGTCTCCTCAATTGAATTAAAGAAGACTCCTCAACAAGATGAAATTCAAATTCAAAGCTGAACTCCTGAGAGACTTCAAAATAAACTACATAAAACATGAACTAGTACCTCCATGCATTTCTTACTCTTCCAAGTGTCAGGGATCTTCATTCCAGCTGGAAATATTGGTCACGCCTGTCAAGGGGTTTTGATGGCAATGCTTTTTGCCTGTTCAAACTGTCATGTTCTCTAAGCAGATGGGTCCTGATGGATTTCAGAATTAAAAACAATACAGAATATTGCCTTGAGGTTTAGGGGAGAAATAAATAACTGTGCTCTTCACGACACAGAATACTTCAACTCTTATAAATTATCAAGATCTACTGTTAAAAAATATATAGTTTATAAGAAATCCTTAAATGGAAGTACAACTGAATTTCTGGAACTTTTTTTTATTTTCCGGGAATTCTACAGCATTAGCTAACCTTCAAAATGCAGTTTGTATTGAATCTAACAGTTTGGATTCAAAGCACCAATGA